TTGTTATCCGGGTATATAAACCACATTTTTTCCCTATTTCAGGCAATTTCCTTGGTGACTTTATGCATATCGAAACGTTTCTCCAGAGGACTCTCAGTGCAATCTGCTGTGTTGAAATTCCTGCTCATGTCCTCTGCTTAGTTCATGTCCAGAAATTTCCCGTCCGCCATTGATCTGTTTGCATTCACCTGTAAGCTGTATCATCTCGGTGGAATGTCAACTGGATTATGACTTCACCATCATAAAACGTTCGCCCTGCCGGTCTACGTTTCCAGACATTGCTTTCTATTTCAGCTTCTCTATCAGGAACTTTCTACATGGATACACCACGGGATCAATCACTGCCAAACGGGAGCTGATCAACGTCATCGAACCGCTAATTGACATTGTCAGGCACACCCTTTCCGTCTTTGGACGCGATCTCAGGTTACAATTAGTTCCTCCTCGGAAGACAATGCGTGACACGACACTTCAAGTCGCCCCATTCATTGGCGCACTCCGTCGTCGTACCGTACTCTAGGGTTTCACCCATTCTGCTTCTCATTAGACATCCCATAATATTTAGCTAGCTGCCACCTACATGCCATTCACACAAAACACATGTAGGACATATATCTCTCCCATTGTTCCTGACTTGAGTGCCGTCTAGACCCGGGTGATTCTCAAGCACCAGCAAGTGATCTCAGTGGATTTTCTCAGTTGTGCTCGAACTTCGTGAGAGCAGCGCACTTCCTGCCTCCAATGTATGTACACAGTGTGCTTTTCAGTTTCTACGACCGCTCGCTCGTCGATGCGTACGATCGATATCGTATTTGTTTTTCTGAATATTGCCTGGCCAACCTGGGTATCCTGCAGTGAAGACGAATACCGGCTGATCCAAGATCTTCGGACCAATTATGACCCTATTGAGCGACCAGTTCGAAATCATTCGGAAGCGATCCGAGTGAATCTACGAATTCTCCTACAACAACTTGTCGATGTGGTAAGCTCAGCCAATTTTTAGCTCTTTGGCCAAGGGTTATAGTGGTTGGTTAGAAAGATATCATACTTTTCAACGATATGTGAGAATTATTTTCTTTCCGGTTTAGTTCTAATAAGGACATTATTCGTCGAAGTAGCCTTTTTAGTTACATCAATACAAATTAGTGAACTCTGCAACCGTTCCTCCACTCGTTTCATGTTTCATATCTGACTAATCTTCCCAGCTGTTTTGGCCACTTCGGCTTTGGAGGGGGGAAGGGGGCGCCGTCCAGTATACTACATATGTAGGGCGCCATTAGGGTACCTAAAAAGCAGCACGTTGCCCTGATCAGGGGAGCCAGTTCTGTCTTGTTTAGACCGATATGTGGGCGAGTTTATTTTCTTTCGCATTAGTTCAATAAGGACATTATTCGTCGAAGTAGCCTTTTTGTTTACATCAAATACAATTTAGTGAGCTCTGTGATCCGTTACTCTACTCGTTTCATGTTTCATATCTGACTAATCTTCCTAGCTGTTTCAGCACTCGGCGCTGTTCGGTTTGGGGGTGTTGACGCACTTTGAACCTTTGCTAGTTCCTTTTGCTACTTCCTGTTGAATTACATGTGCGACCTGTACAACCTTGTCATGTGTAAACAATGCCATGGGCAGTGAACAGTCTGAGATAGCAAAGTGCTCCACCAAGCCGAACTGCGTCGTAACTTCTGTACCCCGTCCACTAGCATCAAATCTCAGGATGCTTCTCAACCTCTCTCCTCTTTTCTTTTTTCTTCATTCTTCATTCTTTTCCGCTCTCTTCTCTCTCTTCTCTCTTCCTTTTCCTTCTCGTTTTGAATGCTCGACCAATAGATGTGAAGAGAAAATGCCCCTGGACCCTCGCAGCAAGAATATATTCGGTTACAGAAGCCTCATAATCTTCTGTTCCCGTCCTATTCCATTTTGGGATAGATAGAGGCAAGAGACATGTCCGTCGGAGTAGAAGGAAGTAAAACCTCCAAATCCATAAAAATCTCACTGAATTAAAGAAATGGACAAACTGTACCCTTCGCAAACTACGACAGTTCTCTCACCCAGCCATTTTTCATTCTGGAAAAGAACTTCGTCAATAGTAGCAAGCAGTTATTGAAAGTTGACGAAGGGATTCTGGTAAGGTAGTGAACTTCGAGCAGTTTCTCTAGTTCTCTTGGGACTGTTTGGAATTCTGAATTATACCCGAAATTCTGTTGGAATAGATGCACTCGTTTTCCAAAATTACTTGTTATTTGATAGTGGTAGTCCTCGTTCCTAGCCATTTTGCGCTTGTACCGCGCCGCTTCCTTCCGCCTCCTTTTTCTTATCATTCGAGGAGGCTGGCACTACTCGTTCGTACTACATAAATACTTCGTTTGATGGCAATTTCACCTCTTCCAAATTAAGCCTACATTATGCGATCTGTTACAGTTTGTTTTTTGCTTCGTGAATTATATTTTTGTATCTCATGTCCTCAGCATGCTGGGAGCAGGGCTTTAGTTCAACTCTCTTGGGTTGGACTATTTTTTGCTTTCCTCCTTCTCTTAAATCTTCTGATTTCTACTGCTTTGTTCGATTAGGTAATCGGTCGTAAAGTTTCATTCAGCAGCGCATTGAAAAGGATCTTCTTTCATTGGTCTCATCCTTTCAATCAGTAGTTGGCCTTTGGAAAATTAAACTGGCATTTTTCTAACACCAGTCCTAAAATGCAGTCAACGTTAACCGTGGGGTATAGTCGTGCCTACTATTTGGCATTTCTTTTAGGGCGCCCAGGACTGCAAAGAGAAGGGTGCACCAACGAGGAAATGACAATGGTAAGCCTGACTCCGCCCTGTACGATTGGTGTGAACTGGTCCTCCGAAGACAAACTGTATACTAACCTTTGTGGATACAGTTCCCAGCCGTATGGGGTTAATGAATTTGCAGGCGCAGTATCGTGCATTTTTCTCCTGTCAAAAGTGCACGGAACAGGGCCGAAAGGGAGTGACATCCGTGAGCCGCTTGAGACTGTACCTGCGCTGCCCCAAAGCCAGCCACGCCTGACCATAGCCCAATGCGCTTCTTGTCGGCGTCCTGCCACTTCTAATCTCTGCCTCTGATACGTGTTTTGCTGCGGGAGCGCGGTGTAGATGGAAACGCTGCATTGAGATAGCGCGGGCAGAGCATGGTAACGCTGCACGGGTACCACTGCCCTACAGCCTGTTCCCGTACGTTTGTGAGCAGAAAAAGTGGCACCCTACTGCATGTAGGGGTCCACTCGCCTCGCACATAGCAGGGCCATCCTCGGGGGTCAGTAAACAGTTTGTATCCGAGAGTGTCGCCCATGCTGTCTGCAATGATATGTAGCTTGGTGATGCCCACCTCTTTTCTTTCGAAACATAGTGATAAACTTGGCTCTAGGGCCAGTTACTGTATCGTTGAATGTTGGAAGAATTAAAAACATTGCGGGGGAGTCGAAACTAATGCTTGGGAATGGCTCAATTTCCACTAAGGTTGAGGACAAAATTGGCTTCGTGTTTAGAGACAGTGGGACAAACTGCGAAGCGAAATTAGTGGACGCAATGTCTCGAACGCACTTAAAGACACAATGTACGCTCAGAACACCATTGAGGGGGTATGAGACCAAAACATGCCCAGGAATGGAGATACAGGACCGTGAAACACGCTAATTCCTCCATGCTCCGCCTTACACCTTTTTGCGGCGCAGATTCCCGTCCTTCATAACATCCGTCGTAAGCGCGCGTGTCGCGTGCGGCTCCTTGGCACTTTGCCAAGCGCTCTCAAATACGAGTAAAACGCAATTTCCTGATGCGGATAACATTGGAGGTGCTACAAAATAAGAACAGAAGATGATGACGAAGGGCCAGAACTCAAGAGCAACTCGGCTGCATCTGCAGTATCCATCAGAGGCCGCGCATTCCCAAAAACATGAGAATAAAAACAGCCCAAGCGTCCCACTCGTTTGTTCTAAGTATTTCTATGGCTTTGGCGCCGGATTCGCGCCGGATCGTAGAAATTTACAGGCGATTTTAACTAATTTGCCTTTCCTTGATTTTTTCATTTTTGTTTTATTTACATTTACATCGTTGTGCTTCATTTCTAGCCTGTGTCATCTTCATCTCCTTGTACATGGATTTTGAAGCATGAGCAACACCTAAAATTTTATTCGCATCAGGAAATTGCGTTTTGCTTGTATCAAACTAACGAGTATGCCGTTTTTATTTTCATGTTTCGTGGAAATACGCGGCCTCCGAGGGATGTTGCAGAAGTGGCACAGTTGCTTTTAAGTTCTGACCCTCGTCATCATCTTCTGTTCTTATTTTGCAGCACCTCCAGTGTTATCGCGCATCAGGAAATTGCGTTTTACTTGTATTGAAAGCGCAATTAAAGGACTTGGCAAAGTGCCAAGGCCGCACGCGACACGCGCGCTTACGACGGATGTTATGAAGGACGGGAATCTGCGCCGCAAAAAGGTGTAAGGCGGAGCATGGAGGAATTAGCGTGTTTCACGGTCCTGTATCTCCATTCCTGGGCATGTTTGGGCGGGGGGACCACGACACATCGACAGCTGGGGGCTGATAGTCTCATACACCCTCAATGTGTGTGAGCGTACTATGTGTCTTTAAAGGCAGTTGGCACGATAAATCCCCCAAGGCGACTAGGATCAATACTCCTGGCAGGATAGAATTCCGCGACCCTGGGCAGGCGCTGCATAGCGGTTTCCCCGAGGAAGGTGCCCTAAAAGGCCCTATCAAGCCACAACTTTACGTCCCAAACGCCCGCCACGCCCGCCCGCCCACAAATGGACGACCGTTCCTGACGCTCGTATTCATTCATTTGCTAAGCAAATTATGAAGCGAAGGGATTGGTATGAAGCGGCCGTGATGCTGCATGCATACATGGGTACACATATGCAGCCGTATCTTCGGTAGCGGTGATTGGCAAGATGCCTACGGGAAACTCGTCCGAAATCGATTTACAAGTCACTGAGAACGGAGGCTTTTTCGGATTTTGACCGTTTCACTCCGTTCTTTCGCCATTTCCCCACTATACAGCGCCCTACTAGCATTTTAGGCTAAGTAGGAAACCATCGTGCCAACTGCCTTTAAGCATATGTGTAGAATGAATAATGCCGTGTAGGTTTAACCCTGGCCTGTACTCAAAGGCTGGCATCTAGGTATCTCCAGCGTTCAATCTTCAGCGTAATCAGCTTTTTCGAACTTTGATTAGTTGTGTAATCGATATCAGTACTAAGAGAAAGCAACAACAGAAAAACCACCGACTCGCAAATGGCATAGAAACTTTCCTGAATATTGATAGTACAATTTCTATTCAGTACACCTGGAACAAAGCACTTCTCGCCCCCCCACTCCCCCATGTTCTTACATACATAGCTGTTTGTTCAGATCGCATGTTCCATTGCGCTGCACTCGAAATTCCGGTGAATCAATGGCGTATGCGAGACCGGATTGTTTCGCACTTATTAACCTGTCCAGATTGCTGCAATCTTGCTCTGCTTTACATAGGACAAGAGAACCTCTTTAGTGTCAAGGATCCTTTCTGATTTTCTTCTCTTCGGCAACGCCGTTCCAGTAAGCGGATGCATTTTGGTGTTATCCTTCGCTGACACGCCGTTTCATGGGTCTTCTTTCAGTGCAGGACGGCAATCAGTGTTGGAAAATGCGCAGAAACTATTGTAATGCAGAGGGAAATGAGCCCCTGCATCACAATAACTTCTTCGCATTTCCTCATCTGAGCCGGGAATAAACCGCTCTGGCCTTCAGATCAATTTTCTTATCTGAGCTGAAGCTTCCAGTTTACACAAAACGAAGTCGCTCTCACTAGCCGTATTTCTGAACTCCTTGTATGCTCTGCATCTGAGCTTTCTTGTAACAGGGCTCTGCGGGCCATGTGAATCTGATGAGTCAGCCTGTAGTTTCGCGTCAGCTCCAGAATGGCCTGAAACGTCAACGGGTGAACGAGCGTAAACCTCTATTCAAAAAAGTGGAACGGAGTTCTCCCTCTTCTTAAAAATTGCTGCGCACAATCGAAGAGTGAAACCTAAAGTGCATAGTTCTTTGCTTCGTTTTCTCATACTTTCACACTTGTGTAATTGTCAACTTTTGCATACTGACAGTTATGCAGTTATTTGACAGTAATCCTTATCCCGTCTAGCTTGGAACAATGCAGTCCATATCTGATATCAATAGGAAGGCTGGCTAAATAAGTGTCCTGTCTGCAGGACAGTCCAACCAATTCGCAC